AAGAGTTAAAGAGAAAAAAGTTGAAGACCTGCCTCAGCTTCCTGGGGACTGACAAGAGAGAATTTCCCAGATGGGACCTTGTGCTTGGAGAGTACCAGACACCTGGTGTGGTGCAGACCCCGGAGAGTGCCCAGGGGAGGGCCCGTCGCCTCTGGCCACCTCCTCTGGGCCAGTCTCTGAGCTCCCATTTTTGCAGCCTGGAAGGAGGAGACCTCTTTGATATGTAGGTTATGGGAGATTTCCAAGGAAAGGAAAGAAATCAGATAATTCACTCCCTGGTCAGAGTCCAAGGCTGGAGGACGATGGTGAGAACTGCTGACCAGCCACAACCCTCAGGCCTAAAAGCAAGGATTCCAACAGGAGGACACAGTCCCCAAACCCCTCCCAGGTCTTATCCCTGCCCATCCTGGAGAGAGACCAGCAAACCAGCAGTCAAAGCCAGGAGTCTGGGGGCGCCGGGGGACTATCTGCTGTAAAGAGCCTGTCTCACTCAGCCTGACGTCGCCCCGCCCTGATGCTGGGACCAGAGGGTGTTCGGGCAGCTCTGACCCAGTGGCCCTCCAGGAGGGAGCCTCCTCCCCCACTCTCCAGGCTTTTCTCGTGCTCCTGCTGCCCCCTGGACACTGTTCCGTGTTAGATCACTCACCTCTCTCCCCAGGAGCCTAATTATCATTTACAATGAAAAAGAGATTCAAAATAAAATACCTCTTCTTATGCCCAATCAACCTTTATGGGCAGTCAATTGCCCAGAAGCAAATCTTCCCTCGCCCAGGTCAGCCCTGCCTGTCTGGGAATGAAGGTCTGTCCCGTCAGCCTTTTGTGAAACTCTTAATACTTCAGGATTCGTGTAAGCGGACTGGGCTTTCTCATGGCTCAGGCCTGTGTGCAGCTTTCAGGATAAATGCACACGTCTCACACACAGACACAGAGAGGCACACATGGAGAGATGCGTGCAGATGCATGCACACACACGGCTGCACTCACATCTCGCACACACACGCTCACACACGCATGTTCTGATCCCTCCAAAGGCCACCTCCCGCCACTCCTGTTGCTACTGCACCCTAGTATTTCATGAAAAGCAAACAAATTGCATCTCCTTGATTACATTTCCTGATTTCTTAGAAAGCAAAATTGTAGTAATTGGTTTACATTAAGCATCACGCTATTTGGGAGAGGGAAATTAAATAGAATACCGTTAGAGCTGATTCGTAGGCAAACATAGCTAAATTAAACAAGCCTAAACAACCATATTTGCAGGGCAGATTGCAGTTTCAGTAACTGCTGCAACAAAAAGCTATTCCATGATGTCTGATGTCTGGGTGGTAGGATGGTAGTGGTGAACCCAGGTCCCAGAGAACTTTGGGACCCTCCGGACAGTCCTGTGAGGCCTCAGATGGCTCAGGAGGCCCGCCTGGTGCCTGGGGTCGGGGGCCCTAACAAAGGTTTCAGGTTCTGAAAGTCAGCCTGCGACCGCCGCTGCTTGCCAGGCTGCAGGTTCAGCTCAAGGGGCCAGCGGTTCAGGACTGCGGCTTGCCCATGGTACTGAGTGTGACATGTGTAACCTTCAGAGCCCTCCACCCCTCTACCACAGGTGTCCGAGCACCAGGCTCAGGAGCACCCCAGCTGTGAGGATGTGGCAAGGACTCCACCCCAACCCCTCCCACAGTCCCGCAGCCTCTGCCGTCCAGGACCAAGTCCCTGACCGAGTCCTTGAGTGTGTGTGGCATCCCTCCCCCTTGGCTCTGTGCTCCAGGGTCATGTGAAAACTGGGGCCTAATGGAGTTCAAGGAGAAAACGTCAAACCACATCTATGGTTGGTGGAAGTCCATATGGGAGAGGTCAATTCCGTGAGCGGGTTTAACTCGGGACCTGCTTAGCTGGCCCAGGCTCTGTCAGCACCTGACCATTGCGGTTCATAAGGACCATGAGCTCTGGCAACAGGGAAACAGGGGAAGGGTGGGCCTGGCGCCATTTTCCCAGTTTTAACACAAAAAGGCCTGCATCCCAGGAACTCCCTCAGTCCCAGATAAAGCGAGATGGTTTGGGGCTGTATTTGCCACCTTGATGGAGGCTGCAGAACTGTCCCACATCAAGACTGGGATTCTTTCATGGATGACAGGACGGTTCCAGGGCAGAGGGCAGAGCCGTCCCCGCCATGCACAGCTGGGTCTCGGAGCGGGTTCTGCTGTGAAACACCCACCCTGTTGGCAGATCATAGCTGAGCACAGACCTCTCTCCTGCTAAGGAGGGCGCACTCTCCACCCGGCAGATCCTACTGAGAAGGGCGCACTCTCCACCCGGCAGATCCTGCTGAGGAGGAGGGTGCACTCTCCAGCCGGCAGATCCTACTGAGGAGGAGGGTGCACTCTCCACCCAGCAGATCCTACTGAGGAGGGTGCACTCTCCACCCGGCAGATCCTACTGAGGAGGGTGCACTCTCCACCCGGCAGATCCTACGAGGAGGAGATTGCACTCTCCACCCGGCAGATCCTACTAAGGAGGAGGTGCACTCTCACCCGGCAGATCCTACTGAGGAGGAGGTGCACTCTCCACCGGCAGATCCTACTGAGGAGCGCACTCTCCACCGGCAGATCCTACTGAGAGAGGTGCACTCTCCACCCGGCAGATCCTACTGAGGAGGAGGGTGCACTCACCACCCAGCAGATCCTACTGAGGAGGGCGCACTCACCACCCAGCAGATCCTACTGAGGAGAGATTGCACTCACCACCCGGCAGATCCCTACTGAGGGTGCCTCTCCACCTGGCAGATCCTACTGAGGAGGGTGCACTCACCACCTGGCAGATCCTGCTGAGGGAGGGTGCACTCACCACCTGGCGGATCCTACTGAGGGAGGTGCACTCTCCCCTGACGGATGGGCTTCCACTTATCTCTCTCTCTCTGGAATGCCCCGGCCTTAATTTGGAGTTGGTGCCCAGCCAAGCAACTCCTTGGGTATCAAAATAAGAAGAGCGAGGGTGCACTCACCACCTGGCGGATCCTACTGAGGAGGGTGCACTCTCCCCCTGACGGATGGGCTTCCACTTATCTCTCTCTCTCTGGAATGCCCCGGCCTTAATTTGGAGTTGGTGCCCAGCCAAGCAACTCCTTGGGTATAGAAAATAAGAAGAGCAAAAGATGGGACCTTTAGGTTCATTTAAAGGCCCTGAGCAGTGACTGTCCTCTCAGTGGGCTGGAGCCAGCTCCCCGTCCCACCCTGCCATTTGGTAGCTGTGAGGCCTGGGGCAAGTTGCTGGGCCTCTGTGGGCATCTGTGTTTTCTTCTTCTATACACGGGACAAGTTTGTGTGGAATGAGGAACATTGCAACATTGCACTGTGTCTGGCACTTAATATCAAGCAGAGAGAAGGGAAAAGCTACCCAGTACAATAAACCACTTTTTTTTTTTTTTTTTTTTTGAGATGGTGTTTCGCTCTGTCACCCAGGCTGGAGTACAGTGACATGATCTCTGCTCACTGCAACCTCTGCCTCCCGGGTTCAAGCGATTCTCCTGCCTCAGCCTCCCAAGTAGCTGGGACTACAGATACCCACCACCACACCTGGCTAATTTTTGTGTTTTTAGTACAGACGGAGTTTCACCATGTTGGCCAGGCTGGTCTCAAACTCCTGACCTCAGGCGATCCGCCCACCTCGGCCTCCCAAAGTGCTGGGATTACAGGCATAAGCCACTGTGCCCGGCCAAATAAACCACTTTTTAGGGAAAAAATGGGGTGGGGGTAGAGATTCCACAGTGGCCCCTGCGCACCCCGTCTTCCCTGGCTGCAGATGCAGCAAAGGGAGGTGCAGCCAGCAAGGCAAGGGCAGGTGGAGACCCGCAGCTCCTGTTCCCCCTTCATGGCCCAGTGACTTTGAGGGTTAAATCTACCCGTCTCTCACCACTCCTCTCTCCCCCACCTCGCCTGGGTGTCTCACTCTATTACCTTCTTAAGCATGGTTCTAATTATCTCTTTGTATCTCCTGTGAAACCAGCGCTGTAGAAGCCCCGCTCCATCGCTCCCTTTCTCGACAGTGGGTCTGACAGTTGGAACAGAAGCCCTCGGAATGATGAATCTGCTTTATTAAAAGTCCTTTGTTTAAAAGCATCAGCCCCGCCTTCCATGTCAGGACACAGCCTACTTGCAGAGGAAAAAGAGGCAGGCTCAAGGCATGGAGGGAAAAATGTCTTCAAACAGCTATTCATGCTTTTAAAATTTTTAACTGGATGAAAGCTGTTCTCCACTACATTTCCTTCCTCTAGTTATTTTAATTCATTCAACATAAGTTTCTGTTTAAACCGGGGAATAGTGTCCCAGAAGTGAAACTGAGGGGCACACACAGGGAACCATGGTGATTCTTCCACATCCTCACTCAGCAACCACCAAAAAACACCAGGGACAGATGCCAGGCATCAGGCCCTGTGCTGGGCGCAGAAACCCCGGGTAGAAATCAGAGACAGCCTCTGCACTCACTGGAAGCTGAGTTTATGCTGTTGTTCAAGGGAGGACTCTTGGGGGAAGCCAGTAAATCCCAAGCTAAGAAACTGGTCCCAAGTGACTGATACCCCTCTGATCATGACAGAAGAAGATGCACCATAATGAAAACAAAGACAAATTCTAGAGGAAAACTTACAGAATTCAGGGCTCATAAGAGTCCCATGGAATATATCATTGCTGTGGTAGATTCATTTGTCAGTTTTGTAATGTGAAGAATCGTGTTGGCAGTATAAATTTGATCTTCTGATTCATAGGGGAAACAGGAATTTCCATTTTTCAGTCAACCTGCACTACCCACCTCAGCAGGGCCCAAGGTCTCATACCAGTCCCTTAATGAACATCACAACCCAGAAACCCAGCTTCCAGGCCCTCCCCTCCAGTCTCACCACTCCACTTAAGGCACCTACAGCTCAAGCGTTTCCTGTTCCTTGTTAATTTCTAGCCCAGGGCCATTCCGAGTGTGTGTGTGTGTGTGTGTGTGTGTGTGTGTGTGCAGGTGTGCATTCATATACTCGACACTGTGTATCTGTTGAAGGGTTATAGTTCACCTGTTATTTCTGTGCATTTTTAGAAGGGGACACACCATGCTGCTTTGGCCCATCATTTTCCTGGAACCAGACATTTGGTTATGTAATTCCAAATGTTTTTACAGAGCTGATGCATTTTCCCATTTATAAAAAAATGATGTGTTCTCATGGCGATTGGAGAATATAAAACCCTAAAATGGAAAGCAGAGGAGTGACTGGAAATAAAGCTTTAGAAACTGAATACATGGCTGTGAATGGTAACAACGTCTCTTTCATAGCGATAAGGATCGACTGAGAAAATCCTCCATGGTGGGTTAGAAGATGCTAAAGAAACATTGAAATATTTGAGCTACAGATTCAGATGGCCAAGAGGCTCCAGAGTGGCAGGCCTGGTGGTGAGTGAAGCTGCAGAGATTGCACCTGCCGAGGATGAAAGACAGAAAAGTGGCAGAACCTAAACCAGTGCCCCGGCCCCCACCCAGCCTTTGCAATCACCCATTGAGTATCCCGTGTCCGGTGACTTGAGATCAAGACCAAGGAGAAAAGTTCACATGTCAAAAATATATCCACAAGCTTCAACCAAACAATAACTTCGAAACATGCCTTTCTGTCTCTCTTGGAAAAGGATTTCTGAATGTCGGAGTGAGATTTGTTACCTGATGATGCCTCAGGTCTGTGAAGACTTCTCCCAGGTGAGAGGACCGAGGGCTTTGATAAACGGCAGTTTTGTTGCAAAATTATTAGCAAGATGGTCGGTTTCCACTGAAATAAGAGTTTTTGTTTTAATGTATATTGTAATGAAAGCTTGTAACAGTACTGTACCATAAACACAAACAGCACAATCTTATAAAAATTTCATCTTTATCTATTTTGGGGAGAAATAGTCCTGTCTGCCTAATTGAGGCATCTGTCATTCTGACATTAAATAGTGCATCCTTGGTCCTTTTATTATATCGTGGTACATTTCTCACACACTGCTAAATTGAAATAATGCTGCTCACTTGGAGATAAAGGGACATAATAGGTATTTTATAATGAGGGGGACAGAGGATTTATCTTGCATCCAGGCTGAGAATTGCTTTATCTCTTTCCTGGGGTTTGCTGCCCTAAAGGGAGCTTTGGCTCATCGTATCTCTCAAAACTCCAATAAGAGAAGAATCAAATGAGAAACAGTTAGACAAGAATTAGAAATGTGATTCAGGCAGTCAGTCATCTGTGCACTCTGGGAACAGCTCTACGGGTAGCTCAGGTGGGCGGGGCCTGGCCCAGCCACAGACAGCATGTCAATGTTGAAAATTAAATCCCATTTACTATTTTTTAATAGTCCAATCTCTCCCCTGGAGCATCCCAGCCTTTGTTTCAAAATATTTGATTCAACTCACTCTATTTCACTTTCCTGAATAAAATCATAGACTTATGATTTCATAGTGTTCATAAAATCATAGACTTTCAGTGCTCAAATGACTTTGAGTCACCTACTTGAAGCATCTCACTAGTGTTTGAGGACTCTGTAGTCACCCTACAAAGCCATCTTCCTTTCAGGATTTCAACATTTCCAGGGTTAAGAGTTTAATCGAGACTTCCCAGTTTAAATACCGACTCCTCTGTGTGATGCTAGGCAGGTTTCACAGCCTCTCTCTGCCTCAGCTTCTTTACTATTTATAAAATAGCAACAGTAATAGCACCCAATAAGAGTACTAATACTTCCTTTATTATTTCCAGCACAACTGCTCTGTCTTTCATTTCTGTTAGTCATAGCTCCTTAAACTTCTCTGTGCCTCCTACTGAGTCAAGGGATCCACCATAAAAGTCATGATGATGATAGTGATGGTGATAATGATGATGATTATGATGATGATGGTGGTGGTGATGGTGATGATGGTGATGACGGAGACGGTAATGATGGTGATGATGGAGACGGTAATGATGGTGATGATGGAGATGGTAATGATGGTGATGATAACGGTAATGATGGTATTGGTGATGATGGTGATCACAGTGATGATGGTAAGAATGGTGGTGATGACGGTAATGACGATGATGGTGATGATGGTGATGGTGGTAATGATGATGGTGATGATGGTGATGGTGGTAATGATGATGGTGATGATGGTGATGATTGTAATGATGATGGTGATCACAGTGATGATAGTAAGGATGCTGCTGCTGGTGGTGGCGGTGGTGATAATGTAATGATGGTGATGGTGATGGCGGTAACGATGATGGTGATCACAGTGTTGACAGTAAAGATGGTGTTGATGATAATGGTGATGGTGGTGGCGGTGGTGGTGGTGATGATGGTGATGGTGGTGGCGGTGGTGGTGGTGATGGTGACAATGATGGTGGTGATGATGGTGATGGTGATGGTGGTAATAATGATGATGGTGATCACAGTGATGATAGTAAGGATGGTGGTGGTGGTGGTGGTGGTGATGGTGATGATGATGTAATGATGACGGTGATGATGATGGTGGTAACTGTGATGGTGGTAATCATGATGGTGATCCCAGTGATGAAAGTAAGGATGGTGCTGGATGATAATGGTGATGTGGTGGCGGTGGTGGTGGTGATGGTGACGATGATGGTGGTGATGATGGTGATGGTGATGGTGATGGTGGTAATAATGATGATGGCGATCACAGTGATGATAGTAAGGATGGTGGTGGTGGTGGTGGTGATGGTGATGATGATGTAATGATGACGGTGATGATGATGGTGGTAACTGTGATGGTGGTAATCATGATGGTGATCCCAGTGATGAAAGTATGATGGTGTTGATGATAATGGTGGATGGTGGTGGCGGTGGTAATGATGATCATGGTGATCATGTGATGACAGCAGCCAGCCAACATTCATGAGGCATTTACTAAGTGTTCACACTGTTTTCAATGCTTTGTGCGTATTCATTCGTTTTACCCCAACAGCAGTCCTACGACATAGGGACAATTATTGCAAATGAGAACATTGGAGCTTATGTTTGCTCAAGGCTGCCTACCTGGCAAGGGTCTGACTGGGATTCAGACCTAGGCAGCTGCTCCATCGATCAGCTCTGCACACTTTCTCCATGTTGTACAGACCAACAGGCCCCCTCTTCTCCTGGGTGCCTAAGGGCAGAGGCCAGAGTGCTAGGCTGCAGTCTCCTCTTGGCATCCCAAGGAGAGGAGACCAGGTGGCTCACACTAAGTAAACTCAATTCCAAGGACAGGCCGGCTGCCAATGCTTCTCTCTCAACACAGTGAGTTACACAAAAAGGATAACAAAGCCAGTGGCCATGAATTGCCTGACCTATGTTCAGTAGAAAGAGGTTTATTTTATGTAGGAAATGTCTACATAAAAGATGAGGTTTATTATATTGTTGATACCAAATCCTGAGTGGATGATGCATCTTCTTTTGTAACTGCAGACACTAGAGAAGAGAAATGGCTCATACAGTCTATTTATGTATGAAGTATGACATGCCAGCTCGCCAGTGGACCCTTCTGTTGGTACATTCTGCTATCTCGCTCCCCAAATTTCTGCCCAGCACCATTCACTGACCTGGGAGTCAGCAGTTAGATGTCATAGATCCAAAGTATTTAAAGTCTTTAAATTGCAGTTTTAAATGTTTAAATTATACCAACATCTCTTTTAGCCCTACTCCTTCTTATGTAAGAGCTACCTTTATATTCTCTAAAAGGAAACAAATGTAAATTTCCCTGAACCATGAACTGTGAAAACAGCACCAATGCATCTTAGATCTAATAGAGAGTGAGAGAAGGATTTTGCTTGTTTTTCCAGTAACCTGTGGGTAGCAGAGGTTTTCATAAGATAAGTCATTGACTTGGTGTTTCAGAATAATCACATTAAGTATCTGACCCTGAAGACTCTTTAACTGGGGATAAGGACTCTGTGAAACAGAGTAACAATGACAGCTTTCATCCCATGCCACAGCCAATAGAAGCCGGGCCCAGATGATACGCCCAGGAGGTCGTCACATCCAGGGATGTGACGGAGCACAGACAGAGATCAGGCTGGGCGCGGGTGGGGCCCAGAGCAGGCGTAGGCATCCTTCTCCCAACCTCCCAACTCCCAGGCTGCCAGCAGCCCTCTTCTCCAAGACAGCTTTCTCCAAAGGGAGCATTGAGCTGCCCACTGAGACTCTGGGGTCTCATCCTCTGCCCAGGCTTTGGGGTCCTGTCTCCCTGGAAGGGGAGATTCCTTCCTTTAAAGAGAAACCTAGAAAAGAGGTAGCTGGGGGACTTGGGGAACCCACTTACTGGCAATTGTGAGCCCCAGCAGAGGTGGAACCCAGTTAGGAAAGCACAGACCTGGAACTGGGCAGCCCACGACTCTTAAGGTCACAGGGGAGGACTCAGCCCAGGATCAAACCCCACTGGGGTGGCTGGGGGCCATGGCAAGGGGAACATCCCCCCCTCCCCGCCCCAGCTTCTCACACATCCTGACCCCAGGCCCTACAGGGTTCAAGGCTGGGTGGGAAGTGTGGCAAGAAGGGCAGCCCTTGGAAAGTCATGGGCCTTCGCACGGTGCCAGCACCATCCTGTCCCTGGCTCAGAAAGAACAGGAGGGCCCCTGCCCCATCTCCCAGCTCTAGCATCTGGGAATCTAGGGAGAGGAGGAGCGGAGATCCCAAAAGTTCCTCAGCGGAGGGAGCCATGCTGCACTCCAAGAAGCCCTATCTAGAACAGGGCACAGTACTGTCCTGAGATGTGCTGTGGCCTCCTATGGGACTCTCTCTCTCTGTTTTACGTCTTCCCTGCATCTCCCACCCAAACCTCATTGCCCACAAACAGAATCCCTCCAACCCATTCCGTGACGTGGATGGACTTTTGCCTGCACTGGGGAGACTGACCTTGTCGTGGACTTGGATTGGGGGGCTCAGATCCAGGGGCTCTCCCAAACCTGGGGTGGCAGGAGGGGATGGCTCCCAAGGCCCCATGCAGCTCGGGGACCCAGGTATAGAGCCAGAATGTAAAGCAAGCAACGATCTTCGTTTCTGTAGGGTCTCGAGGGAAGTGGAAGGAAGTGCCCATCAGGTTAATGCTGGAAACCTAGTCCCGTGTGTGACCCGAGGGAACTCGTCATCGTGCGTTCGGTGAGCGAAGGTTGAGCCTGCTTTGTTCTTGGTGGGCCGTGGTGTGGGGTGAGCCTTCTCCATCATCCCGCGTGGGCTGGGCCTGTAGGCTCCACTCCCATTCTCACCTCCCCTAAGGCCTGGGTTCCCTTACATTGTTCTTCTCTGACTGCATTAATTGTTCACCAGTCTAATTCCCGACCTCTGGAGTGGAAGGAGACCCTGGGAGTCCTCCGGGGGGAAATCCCAGGAGAAAGTTACATTTCACGACGAATATGAGTGTCAGTGCCGTCAAGGCACCGACGGAAAGTTCCTCCCAAATATAAACTTCCACCTGCTTCAAAGAATGAAATTTTCTGAATCTCTCAAGTGGGAGTGGCAGAGAGGAGCATGGCATGGAGTTTTGTGGAGGCCAGGGCATCTTACGAAAAAAAAAAAAAAAAGCCATAGAAAGCATAAGCCAAACCAAGGAGTTATGGTTGAAAGGGACCCCTCACACACACACAAAGGGAAAAAGAGGTTCCCACCCAGCCTCACATGCCCACCCGCAGGGCTGTCGGGTTCAGGCTGTCTGCCAGCAGGGAGAGCCAGGAGAGAAGTGGCCCCGGCCCCAACCCTGCCTCCCTGTCCACGGCCCCCTAGTCCCCTTGTCTCTCTTTTGGTCTTTGGCCTTGGTCTTCCATTGATTCATCCATTTCTTTGAACAACAGAAAGAGCTCCTGAAAAGTCTACAGGGAGCCGCATAGTCAGCCCCAGAGGTGAGTTTAAAGCGTGCCAGGTGAGTCACTACCTGGGTCCAGGGCAACCTGGTGCACTGTCCACCCCTGAACTGCATTTTTCTCTGCTTGAAACCGGCCCCCAAGCCAGATTTGAGCCAAGAGGATAGCAGCCAGGCTTGGAGGAGTGGGGAGTAGAAAGGAAATTAAGCGGACACTTAGGGCTAAAGCTACACCCTGGCCAAGGAACATCGAGAAATTGAGGGAAAGGGAAGCAGGGAGAGGGAAAATAGGGAGGAAAGTACCACCTGCCTCTCCTGTATGAACCACAGATTCAGTAATGGGGTGACTCATCCTGTCATCCCATTATTAGCAGAAATGCTGCTCAGAATATATTTGATTTGCTAATATCCTGGGCCCCAGATACACCCCTTAGGTTCTATCAGAGCGAGGATGTTGCATAAAACCTGTGCTCCTGGCTGTACACATGGCAATGACAGTTCCTACCCTCCCAGCTCCAGGGAGTGGCTTCAACATTCTGCTTTTCACAAAGTTCGTTTCCTTCCTGTGACTCTGAGCCCAGTGTCTCAGTGGAGCCTTGTGAATGTGAGAAGGATGCATCTGCTGTGTTCTTGGGCCACCATAGTGTGGGATTTGCCAGGCTTTGCAGGAGAGAGGTTGAAGTCGAGGCATCCACTCTGTGCACAGCTCCCACGTCTGAGCGTGGAAGTCTCGGGCTGGGCTGTCAGTCAGGGACAGCCTAGGGAGTCAGATGTGCAGCTATTGGGGTCTGAAGAGCGCTCACATCCTCTGCCGTCTCCACTAGTGGGTAAAACTCAGGCTCAGGGATTCAGGAACCGGAGGCTGAATATATAGACAGACAGTGGGCAAACCATATGTGGAAAGACAGCTCTGACCCATGACCTGCAGCACCAGCCCAGGAAACCACCCCTTCCCTATAGACCCAGCCCAGGAAACCACCCCTTCCCTACACCACCCCTTCCCTGCAGACCCAGCCAGGAGACTGCCCCTTCCCTACAGACCCCGCCCAGGAGACACGCGCCCTGGAGCCCGCCCAGGAGACCACCCCTTCCCTAGGCCCCTTGAGAGACCACCCTTCCCTACAGACCCAGCCCAGGAGACCGCCCCTTCCCTGGAGCCCCTCCAGGAGACTGCCTTCCCTACAGACCCCGCCCAGAGCCGCCCCTTCCCTACAGACCCGCCCAGGGGAGCCGCCCTTTTCCTACAGACCCGCAGAAACTGCCCCTTCCCTACAGACCCACCCCCAGGAGACCACCCGCCCTACAGACCCAGCCCAGGAGACCGCCCCTTCCTCTGGAGCCCCTCCCAGGGAGCCGCCCCTTCCCTACAGACTCCTCCCAGGAGACCGCCCCTTCCCTGAGCCCGCCCAGAGACTGCCTTCCCTAGATCCCTTAGAGGCTACCTTCCTCTAGACCCCGCCAGGAAACCGCCCCTTCCCTACAGACCCATGGGAGAGCTGCCCCTTCCTAGACCCGCCCAGGAGACCGCGCCCCTACAGGCCAGCCCAGGAGACCACCCTTTCCTACAGACCCGCCCAGAAGCTCGCCCCTTCCCTCACGGACCCTGCCTAGGGAGCCGCCCCTTCCCTGCGGACCCTGCAGAAACCGTCCAGCCCTACAGACCCGCCAGAAGCCGCCCCGCCTACAGACCCACGCCCAGGAGACGCCTTTCCCTCTGGAGCCAAGCAAACCTCCCTTCTCTACAGACCCTACCCAGCCCAGGAGACTGCCCCTTCCCTACAGACCCCTCCCAGGGGGCCGCCCCTTCCCTGGGCCAGCCCAGGAGACCGCCCCTTCCCTGAGCCCAGCCCAGGGAGACCGCCCCTTCCCCTACAGACCCCTCCCAGGGAGACCGCGCCCTGCAGACCCTGCCAGAACCCTTGCCCTATAGGCCCAGCCAGAAGCCACCCTTTCCCTGGAGCCCGCCCAGGGGCGCCAGCCTGTTACCATGGAGTCAGACTTGCAGACGTCGAATCCAACATCCCTCAACAGCCTTAGGACACAAACATGCCCTGTCACAGCCCAGTAGCCAGGCCTTCCCTACAGACCCAGCCCAGGAGACCGCCCCTTCCCTACAGACCCCTCCCAGGAGACCGCCCCTTCCCTGCAGACCCTGCCCAGGAGACCGCCCCTTCCCTATAGACCCAGCCCAGGAGGCCACCCTTTCCCTATAGACCCCACCCAGGGGCCAGCCTGTTGCCATGAGTCAGACTTGCAGACGTCAGATCACCATCCCTCGAACAGCCCAGGACACCAAACAATAACCCCTGTCACAGCCAGCCCCAGGTGGCCAGGCCTTGATTGGCAACTGATGACTTCCCTAATTTTTGTTCCTACTTCCAATTCATATTCCAACTCTAAACATGCCCCCACCCCAGTCCTGTCACAGGACGCCTGCTTCTGGTCAGCTGCCTCCAGCTCCCCAGGCCAACAGCCTCTGTGGGGGCTCACCCGGAGCCTCCCCATCTCCACCTTGAAGCTTCCCACTCCCCTGCCTGCCTTTGAGGCAAGCGATGGTGGCCGGCTCCTATGCAAGCTCCAAACAATGGACCTCTGCTTTCCTCATTGGGAGCAGGGTCTTCCCTCATTTCCAAGCACTGAGCACAGCGGTGGAGTCCAAGCAGCAGCAGCCTGCCCCTCAGTGCTTCAGCAAAGCAGAGACACTGGTGGGAGCAGGAGGGCCCAGGCGGAACCTTCTGGAGCAGGTCCTGGAGCTCCTAGCTGGCTCCTGAGCTTCCCCTCTGAGTTCCTGCACAACCGTATCTGCTGAATGCTGAGAGGCCCAAGCTGGGAAACAGAGTGAGCAGGTCACAGGATAGGAACTTGGGAAGAAAAACACTTTCCTTCCCCAGGGGCTCCAGCAGGGTGGCGAGGGGCTGAAAAGAGGGACTGGGTTCAGTGTCCCATTCAGGGCACATGCCATCTCGAATCGGGAGAAGAGGGTATTTTTCAGCATTTGTGCTAAACTTGCGTGTGTACATATTCGCTGGCATTTCGGCAGCAGTTGGTTTACTCTCGCTAAGTGCTATTTTATTATTCAAACCAGAGTTTGGTTCATTATCTCTCTGCAGAGCTTCTTGCAGGCAGAACTCCCACACTCCGACATCGCTGTCCAGAGTCAGTCCTTGTGGGACTCTCAGAGTACAGAAAATTCTGAGAGCTCCGTGATGAGAGGGAAGGCTCAGCGTGGAAAACAAGGCGGTCCCACTCCTCTGCCTTCAGTTCTCCAGGGCAAGCGGGGCAGAGCTGTCCGAGATTCTGGGAATCTTCACTGTTTCTAGTTCAGCACAAAGGTGGGGTGTGGCTTGGAGGTAAGAACCAGAAACAGGGCCCTGGGACTCAGGGAACATCGGTGGGGAATGAGCTGGGTCAAGGGAGCCAGTCCTGGGCCAGTCCCAGAGGCTGAGTCAGAGGTCAAGCCGGGCCCAGGAGATCCTGGCCGAGAGCTCCGGGAAGTGCTGGTGCAAGCGGGCTGAGTGTGCAGCCAGCGGGAATAGTGGGGCAGAGAAGGGGTCCAGAAGGGCTGGCAGGCAGGTAATAATGAGAGGAACAGGAGGAGGCAGGTTATGGCAAGTCACAGGGCCTGGGCGAAAGAGCTGGGGTCAGCAATAATACAGAAGAGGTCAGAGGGCAGATCCCACCCAGGCCTGGCAGACATAGGGAGGGCTTCTGGAGGAAGTGGGAGCAGACCCCATGCAAGGGAGGAGCTGGGGAAGGAAGCTCAGGCCCAGGCAAAGAGGCAAGGAAGTCAGGCAGAGGAGAGGCCGTGGTCTCTGGGAGCTGGGGCCTCTCTGGTTCTTTGGGCTTCTGCGAGATAGAACACTGTGTGCTCCACAACTTCTCCTCAGCTACCACCAGACCCTTGGGGGCGTCACAGCAACCCTCAACGGCAGCCTGCTTTGCTGGACACGTGCCCTGAACTTTGAGACCCAAGCTAGGGCCTGGTTTAGGCCATTGTTGTTCACTCAATCGCCAGGCTCTGCTTATAACAATAGCAAAAACACCAATAAGAATTGTTAGGGACTTCCTGGAGTCCAAATTATTTGGGTTGTTATGCTGCCAAAGGCAGCACATATACAAATTATTCAGGCTGCTTCCTGGGACCCCAAAACCAGGCAGTGAAATAAAAGTTAAAGGTGAGCAGACAGAAAGAAAGCCTCAAATTCCAACTACGATTAGCCCCAAGCTGAGAAGACAGCGCACAGCAGCTCCCTAACCAAAACATGCTGCTTACACTGAACAAACATCGCATGCGCCATGACGGTCGCATGCCCACTGCACAGTGCATGCTCCAGGGAACTCTTAAACTGGAGTAAGTTATCTCCCACGGCTTAGTCCGTGCTGTGCTGCCATAACAGAATACCTGAGACTGGGTAATTTATAAATAACGGAGATTTATTTCTTACAACTCTTGAGGCTGGGAAGTCCAAGGCCATGGTGCCCTCATCTGATGAGGGCCTTCTTGCTGTGTCATCCCATGGAGAAAGGTAGGAGGGCAAGAGAGGGGGAGGAAGGGAGGATATCAAACTCATCCTTTCATTGGGAGTTCATTCCCATGAAAATTAACCCACCCTCATAACTAACCCACTCCCATGATAACTAACCCACTCCCATGATAACTAACATACTCCCATGATAACTAACCCACTCTCATGATAACTAACCCACTCCCATGATAACTAACCCACTCCCATGATCACTAACCCACTCCCATGATAACCAACCCACACCCATGATCACAAACCCACACCCATGATAACTAACCCACTCCCATGATGACTAACCCACTCTTATGATAACTAACCCACTCCCATGACCATTAATCCACTCCCATGATCACTAACCTACTCTCATGATAACTAACCCACTCCCATGATGACTAATCCACTCCCATGATGAAAACCCACTCCTGTGATGACTAACCCACTCTCATGATCACTAACCCACTCCCATGATCGCTAACCCACTCTCATGATAACTAACCCACTCCCATGATAACTAACCCATTCGCATGATAACTAACCCACTCACATGATCACTAACCCACTCTCATGATAACTAACCCACTCTCATGATAACTAACCCATTCCCATGATAATTAACCCACTCCCATGATCACTAACCCACTCCCATGATAGCCAACCCACACCCATGATCACAAACCCACACCCATGGTAACTAACCTACTCCCATGATGACTAACCCACTCCCATGATCACTAACCCACTTGCATGATCACTAAACCACTCCCACGATCACTAAACCACTCCCACGATCACTAACCCACTCGCACGATAACTAACCCACTCCCATGATAATTAACCCGCTCGCATGATAACTAACCCACTCCCATGATCACTAACCCACTCCCATGATCACTAACCCGCACCCATGATCACGAACCCACTCCCATGATCACTAACCCACTCCCATGCATCATGTTCACTAACCCACTCCCATGATAACTAACCCACTCCCATGCTAACTAACCCACTTCCATGATCACTAACCCACTCCCCCACTTGATCACTAACCCACTCTCTCATGATCACTAACCCACTCCCATGTAAACTAACCACTCCCCATGATAACTAACCCACTCCCCATGATAACTAACCCACTCTTATGATCATTAACCCACTCCCATGATCACTAACCCACTCCCATGATAACTAACCCCACTCCCATGATCGTTAACCCCTCTCATGATCACGAATCCCTCCCATGATCACTAACCCCCACTCTCATGCCCTAACTAACCCACTCCTTGATGACTAACCCATACATGATCACTAACCTGCCATGATCACGAATCCACTCACATGACAACTAATCCACTCCCATGATCACTAACCCACTCCCATGATAACTAACCCACTCACATGATAACTAACCCACTCTCGCGATCATAACCCACCCCCATGATACTATCCCCCATGATCACTAACCCACTTCCATGATCATTAACCCACTCTCATGATCACTAACCCACTCCCATGATGACTAACCCACTCCCACCCAGTCACTAACCCGCGCACCCATGATCACGAACCCTCCCATGATCACTAACCCACTCCCGATCCTGAACCCATTCCGTGATCACTAAACCACTCTCATGCTAACTAACCACACTCCCGATAACTAACTTCACTCCCATGATCTTTAACCCACTCTCATGATCCCGAACCCTCCCGCGTCATTAACCCACTCCATACTAGCTAACCCTCCATGATGACTAACCCACTCCCATGATCATAACCTGCACCCATGATCACTAACCCACTCTCAGTATCACTAACCCACTCCCATGATAACTAACCTCCCATGATCATTAACCTTCTCTCATGATAACTAACCCACTCTCATGATAACTAACCCACTCCCATGATATCTAACCCATTCGCATGCTAACTAACCCACTCCCGTGATGACCTTACGTACACCCATGTTCACTAACCCCTCCCATGCTAACTAACCCACTTCATGATCATTAACCCACTCTCATGATCATTAACCCCTCTCATGCTAACCCACTCCCATGATCACCCACCTCCCATGATCACTAACCCACTCTCATGATCACTAACCCACTCCCATGGTAACTAACCCACTCCACTTGATCATTAACCCACTCCCATGATCATAACCCACTCCCATGATAACTAACCCACTCCCATGATCATTAACATGATCACTAACCCACTCCCATGGTAACTAACCCACTCCCATGATCATTAACCCACTCCCATGATCACTAACCCACTCCCATGATAACTAACCCACTCCCATGATCATTAACCCACTCTCATGATCACGAATCCACTCCCTTGATCACTAACCCACCTCATGCTAACTAACCCACTCCCATGATCACTAACCCACACCCATGATCACTAACCCGCACCCATGATCACGAACCCGCACCCATGATAACTAACCCACTCCCATGATCACTAACCCACTCCCATGATAACTAACCCACTCGCATGATAACTAACCCACTTGGCTGGGCGCGGTGGCTCAAGCCTGTAATCCCAGCACTTTGGGAGGCCGAGACGGGCGGATCACGAGGTCAGGAGATCGAGACCATCCTGGCTAACACGGTGAAACCCCGTCTCTACTAAAAAATACAAAAAACTAGCCGGGCGAGGTGGCGGCGCCTGTAGTCCCAGCTACTCGGGAGGCTGAGGTAGGAGAATGGCGTAAACCCGGGAGGCGGAGCTTGCAGTGAGCTGAGATCCAGCCACTGCACTCCAGCCTGGGCGACAGAGCCAGACTCCGTCTCAAAAAAAAAAAAAAAAAAAAACTAACCCACTCCCATGATGATGAACCCACTCCCATGATCACTAACCCACTGTCATGATCACTAACCCACTCCCATGATCACTAACCCACTCGCATGATGACTAACCCACTCCCATGATCATTAACCCACTCCCATGATCACGAATCCACTCTCATGATCACTAACCCACTCCCATGATAACTAACCCACTCGCATGATAACTAACCCACTCCCATGATGACGAACCCACTCCCATGATCACTAACCCACTGTCATGATCACTAACCCACTCCCATGATAACTAACCCACTCGCATGATGACTAACCCACTCCTATGATCACTAACCCACTCCCATGATCACTAACCCACACCCATGTTCACTAACCCACTCCCATGATCCACTAACACCTCTCATGATCGGTAACGCCCTCTCATGCTAACCTAACCCACTCCCGCCCGATCACTAACTCACTCCCATGATCAACCGCCCTCCCATGATCACTAACCCTCTCATGATCACGAATCCTCTGATCACTAGCAATCTCATGATAACCCTTCTTGCCCACATGATAACTAACACTCCCATGATCGAACCTCCGCCCAGTCACTAACCCCACTCCCATGATAACTAACCCCACTCCCATGATCATTAACCCCTCTCACAGTCACGAACCCACTCGCATGATCATTAACTCACTCTCCATGCTAACTAACCCACTCCCGCAGTGACTAACCCCACTCCATGATACTAACCTGCACCGCGATCACTAACCCACTCCCACCCATGATCACTAACCCACTCCCATAGTAATAACTAACCCACTCCCGCAGTCATTAACCCTCTCCCTTGATCATTAACCCACTCTCATGTGATAACTAACCCTCCATGATATCCTAACCCGTTAAGCTGCTAACTAACCCACTCCATGATGACTAACCCCTCCGCTGATCACTAACCCACTAACATGATGCATGCCTGTGATCACGAACCACTCTCGAGTAAAAGGTATTCGCACATTCCTTGAAGCGAGAGCCCTCATGGCTCCCTGTGCCTCTCTTAAAGTCTACTTTCCTCTCTCAATGCTGTTGCATTGGGGATCAATTCAAACACACTGAACTTTGAGGACGTCTTCAGTTCTGTATAACTTACCAGATGTTTGTAGTAGCTGCAAATAAATGTCTATGGATCCTCCGCCCGCATGATCATTAACTCACTCTCATGCTAACTAACCCACTCCCATGATGACTAACCCACTCCCATGATCACTAACCTGCACCCATGATCACTAACCCACTCCCATGATCACTAACCCACTCCCATGATAACTAACCCACTCCCATGATCATTAACCCTCTCCCATGATCATTAACCCACTCTCATGATAACTAACCCACTCCCATGATATCTAACCCATTCGCATGCTAACTAACCCACTCCCATGATGACTAACCCACTCCCATGATCACTAACCCACTAACATGATCGCTAACCTGCACCCATGATCACGAACCCACTCTCGAGGTAAGAGTATTCATACATTCATGAAGCGAGAGCCCTCATGGCCTAATCATCTCTTAAAGGTCTCGCCTCTCAATGCTGTTGCATTGGGGATCAAGTTTCAAACACATGAACTTTGAGGGACGTCTTCAGACTACAGCAACCACCCACTTGGATGTTTGTAAGTAGTGACTGCAAATAAATGTCTATGGATCCACATAAAAGCCCCCACCGAGAAACTGAGTCTTAGTCCACCTCTGTCTTTAGGAAGGAAATGCGGAAAGGGAGCAGCCACCTTAATATTTTGGGGATGAAGAAGCCATTTATTTACTTTCCATCCTTTCTTTTTTTTTTTTTTTTTTTTTTTTTGAGACAGAGTCTCGCTCTGTTGCCCAGGCTGGAGTGAGTGGCGCCTTCTCGGCTCACTGCAAGCTCTGCCTCCCGGGTTCACGCCATTCTCCTGCCTCAGCCTCCCAAGTAGCTGGGACTACAGGCACCCGCCACCGCGCCCAGCTAATTTTTTGTATTTTTAGTAGAGACGGGGTTTCACTGTGTTAACCAGGATGGTCTTGATCTCTTGACCTCGTGATCCACCTGTCTCGGCCTCCC